GGAGGAGGAGGAGGAGGAGGAGGAAAAGGAAGGGTGGAGGAGGCGGAGCAGCAGCAAAGAAACGGGAGGATGGGATCAGCATAATCAAAACGAGAAGGGTGAGAGAGGATGCGAACCATAACGAACATGAGAGGACGGGAGCAGCCACAGGAAAGGCAGAGGCATAACAAAGAACGCGTCGGGCTCCTGCGCGGCTTGCAGCGTCGTGGGCGCGCACTACACCGCCCGCTTCATCTCCGCGACCTGTCCCCGAGCAGAGGGCGGGGGATTCGAGGGGGAGGGGGCGGAGCGAGGGATGGAAGGAGGGGGGAGGAGAGGTAAGGGGGAAAATGAGGATAGGATGCTGGGGAGGACTGAGGTGAATGCAGCCCATCAAGTCTCCATCATTGCGGCCGCGGCTCCCTGCCAATCGAATGCTGCGCTCGCAGCACCCGGTCAAGACTTGCCGCGCTTAGGAACACGATTATGGTGTTTTGCCGGTTCTCAATGAGCACGGCACGAGTGAAGCACATCTCGACCAGCTTGAAAGCGCGCTTCCGCGATGTGCCTGCGCGACGTCAAATCGGCAACATGCTGCCCTGAAGATTGACACTTGGCGCTTGGCGACTTCGGGGGTCTGTATAATATACCTCCGCACGACGAGTATCGAAACCAGAACGAGGCAAAGGCCCGCGGCTCGTGCTCCAACATGCGGCAGCAAACGGCATCGCTTCTTGCCAGAGGCTGGGAGATAGCGAGGTGCTACACTCTGCAGCACTAGCGTCACACAGCATGCGGACATAGCGCACAGAAAACTCACTCGCGCTCTTGCTGGCGCAGCCCCCGCAAAATGCGGCCTCAGATGTTGAGATATCCTGCCTCTGCCACGCACATCGCATCCGTGTCCAAGGACCGGCAACCTGGGTATCAGGTGTTGGCGGCACTACTGTTGAACAGGCTCGCAAACGGTGGCGTGGAGGACAAGCTCAGGCCCAGCCAGTTCGGTTTTAGAAGCAAGCGTGGGACCACGGACGCAATCTTCATTCTGCATCGTTTCATCGAGAACGCGTGGGTCTGTAAGGATGGCGAGGCCTCTGCGGTGCTTTTGGACTGGTCCAAAGCATTCGACAAATTGGACCACGCAGCACTCCCTATAGCGCAAGCTTCTTTTGGAATCCCGGATCCCTACATAGACATGACTAGCGCCATATACGACGGGAGGACCTTCGACGTGAAAGATATGGAAGGAGAGAGCCAGGTGCACGATCAGGGCTCTGGAATAGCGCAGGGATGCCCCCTCAGCCCATATCTCTTCATTATCATGCTGAGCGTTCTGATGGATGATGTTGAAGAAGCCGTGATCGATGAATTCGGCCACAGCCCTGAGGACACGCAGTCGGCCAACATCGCGTATGCTGACGACACGGCCCTGCTGACAAATGACATTCAGCGTTTGCAGTATTTCCTGGACCGCTTAATCTCTCGAGCACGCCTCTACGGTCGGGGATGGACAGACCCCCCTTTAGTAAAACGTTGTTTAGTGAAAACGACCTGAGGCCCAAACCTGGCGGGCGCAAGCCTGGAAAATAACGGCCACGGCGCCCTCTCGAGAACCGATAACGGACAATTCACCAATCGACGTGTCACTGTTGGGGGTTCTGTCCACCCCCAATACGGTTTGCAACCGAATTCGGACACGACGCTGCATCTACAGCTCCGGCACGCGGAGGACATCTGCACCCCACAGGGCTCGCCAGTGAAAGCTGTGACCTCTGAAGGGGCCCTGGGACACACAAACAAATACACACAAACAAAAAAATCCCCCATAGTTTCCCCACATGTTCTGGGCTTCCGTCTTCCCCCCCCCCACTTCCCATACCTCCCCGTATTTTCCTGGGGATCGACAATTAATAGGGGGAAAGCAAACCTACCTCGCTTTTGACCACCCTCGCTTCCAAGAGATACCAAACGATGCCAAACTACGGCCTGTACTGGTCAGGCCGCTTGACAAGGAGGCGCGTGGTATGACTTGGTTTTGCCTGGAAGCGAAAACGGGGTAGGTAATTCACGCTCTGAATTCATTGCGTCTGTGTGTTTCCCTCCCTCCTGAACCTCGGCAGTGCAGCTGGGCAGCCTCCCGCGCGCGGATGACGGCAGGACGGGGGTCACCAGAGGAGGAGGAGGGAGGAGGAGGAGGAGGAGGAGGAGGAGGAGGAGAGGAGGAGGAGGAGGAGGAGGAGGGGGAGGAGGAGGATGAGGAGGGATGGAGGGAGGATGGAGGAGGAGGAGGAGGGAGGAGGAGGAGGGGAGGAGGAGGAGGAGGAGGAGGTGCAGCTTGGGCAGCCTCCCGCGCGCGGAGGATGGGCAGAACGGGGGGCGCGCACTGCCAGGAGGGTGAGCTCCGGGGCGGCGCGCGCCGCCTTCGGAGATCCCTGGCGACAGCTTGTTCGGAAGCACGCGAACGAGTCAGGAGGCAGAGGAGGGGGCCCTGGGACACACCAAGAAATACACACGAATAGACATATCCCCCATATATTTGTCCATGATTTCTGGATTTCTGTCCTCCCCCCCACTTCCCATACTTTCCCATATATTTTCTTGGGAATCGCTGATGAATTGTGTCTGTGTGTGTTTTTTTCCCCTCCTGAAGCTTGGAAGCATACAAACGTCAGGAGGCAGAGGAAGTTGTACTTCTTCAGCGCCTGCGTGGCGACGAAGCTCACGCACAGCTCGGAGGCTTCGTGTCTGCGGCAGGCCGACAGAGACAAGCTCGACTCCGATCAAGCACGGCGCTTGCGCAGGATACTCAGTATTCCTCACCCCATGTTGTCGCACGTCAGCAGCGAGGCGTTGCGGGCAGTCTTGCGCCAAAGCCGGATCAGCCTGCGCATTCTGTCGAATCAGTTCGTTTATTTCGACAAGTTGATATCGTCACCGTGCATAGTTCGATCGTTTGTGCTCCAGGCTGGGAGCTCTGATGTAACTGTTTCTGCCAAGCGAGGAAGAGGCCATCCACGACTTCAATGGGCCACAGTTATGCGTTTACATGCGCAGACCGTTCAGCAATCCCACGGGGTGGCTGTTCATCATAGCGGAGAATGGCGCCGGGCTGTTCGCGAATATGTGTACTCTTGATTTTGGACGGCAGCGAAGGTCAGCGAAACGATTTCTGAGGCCGCCTTCTCCCCTTTCCTCTCCCCTCCCCCCTCCTCCGCAGTTTGATGCTTCGTCGTGTTTTATCCGGCTACACACGCGCACACACACACACACACAAAGACAAACACACACACACACACACGAACACACACACACAGGCATTCACACACGCACACGAACACACACACACACACAAGCACACACACACACACACGCGCAAGCACACCACACACACACACACACACACCACACACACTTTTGCAGGCGCCCAGTCCCTGGGCACGGGCACGACCCCCCCGCGGCGCGCCACGGCACAGCACGGCGAGGCCGCGCAGGGCCGCGGGAAAGGCCGGCGAGCCGTCACTCGAAGGCGACGGTGTTCCCCCACTTGGCGTGCTTCTGGCGCCGGCCGGGCACGACGGGCGCCGCGGCCGGCGTGGCCTCCGCGTCGCTCCGCTTTCGCTTCTTGCCCCGCGGCTTGGGTCCTTGCCGCGGGGCCCCTCCCTCTGGCTCATCGCGCCGGCCGGCCCCCGGGGGGGCCCCCTGGCGGCCCAGCAGCTTCTTGACCTTCCACCTCGCCGCCTTCAGCGTCTCCGCCAGCACCCAGTCGACTTTCGAGGACTCGTGCCTCTCGAGTGCGGCGTAGACCTTCTTCCGAGGGATGCGGGGCGGCAGGAACACGTACCAGGAGGAGTCGTAGGGGGAGGTGCCACCGTCGTCCCCGACCCACTCTGGCCTCGAGCGCCCCTGCACCAGGTCTGGGGGCATCCAGTAGGTGTACCGGTCCACGGGGGAGATGTATAGGCAGAGATAGCTGCATCAACGAAACTTTCGGCGCTCCGCGCGGCTTTCTTGGGATCGGCGCTGGGCCCCCCTGACAGCGCCTCCGGCGCCGTCCCTGGCGTGCTCAGGGGGGTCCAGCGCCGATCCCGGGAAATCCGCGCGGAACTCCGAAAGGTGTATGTCTATGTCGTTTTCCCTCCCTCGAATGTAGAACACCTGCTCAGACTTCGAGCCCAGCACCTCGCGGAAGTATGGCCGGCTCTGCACCCAGTTCGGCAGCAGCAGCGCCCAGGCGCTGCCGCAGCTCCCGCAGAATCGGAGGCAGCGCTCCAGGTGGTCGCCCGAGTACGGGGGGCTGCTGAGTATCAAGTCGTGCTCCGGCAGCTTCCCAGACTCGATCACGGCGTAGAAGTCCTCGTTCACGTTGTGGACCTTCCGGAAGCCGAGGCCAGCGAGGCGCCGCACCATGGCGCCCTTGCAGAAACGGTAGAGGAAGAGACGCACACCACTAGCATGGGCTTTCGGAGGAGCGAAGTGCTTGGACCCCCTCCCTGGCGCGCGGAGCGCGCTGGGGGCGGCGCAGGAGGCGCCGCCAATGCGGTCCGGCACTGATCCCACAAGCGCGCAACAATTCCGAAAGTCTATCATCCTCCTCCTCCTTGCTTCCTTCCGTCCTTCCTTCCTGCCCCCCCTCCCCCTCTTCCGAACGTCTATGCTTGTGAGACTGCTTCCCTTCTCCGAGATAAGGATCCCACAGCGCCAGGCTGGCCTGGGGAAGCCAACAAGTGCCCATACCGCCACTCCCTGGACCTCTCCCGGGGCGCGCTGTCACCAGGATGTCGAGGCGAATCCACTCTCGGCGACGAGCGCCTCCCGGGATGCCCAACAGGGCGACAACGAAGGAAAGGTATGGGTACATGTTCCTCCTCTGGTGGCCGGTTTCTTGGAGAGGTGCCCCGCGAGCAGCAGCATCAGCGGCCGCAGGTGCTCGTACGCGCGCGTGTCCTGGGCGCGATGGGTTCAGATCCCAACAGGACGCGTGAGATCCCAACCGGACGGTTCAGATCCCAACCGTCTAAAACACCAGGCACGGTCAGATCCCAATCGAGGAGGAAGCGAATGAAGAAAACATATTAAACAATTGCCATACTTGTTCATTGCTATCTGAAATTGCGATGGACACCTTACAGGAGCAGATTTACGCCTGAGTTATTGCGGTTGGGATCTGGCGCGTCTTTTGCTGGATCGTAGTAGTGGTAGAAGTAGTAGTGGTGGTGGTAGTAGTAGTAGTAGTAGTAGTAGTAGTAGTAGTAGTAGTACTAGTACTAGTACTAGTACTAGTACTAGTAGCAGTAGTAGTAGTAGTAGTAGTAGTAGTAGTAGTAGTAGTAATAGTAGTAGTAGTACGTAGTAGTAGCCGTAGTAGTAGTAGTAGTAGTAGTAGTAGTAGTAGTGTAGTAGAGTAGTAGTAGTCGAGTAGTAGGTAGTAGTAGTAGTAGTAGTCGTATAGTAGTAGAGTAGTAGTAGTAGTAGTAGTCAGTAGTAGTAGTAGTAGTAGTAGTAGTAGTAATTGTCGTAAGTAGTAGTGTAGTAAAGTAGTTTAGTAGTAGTAGTAGTAGTAGTTAGTAGTAATAGTAGTAGTAATCGTAGTAGTAGTATAGTAGTAGTCGTCAGTAGTTAGTAGTAGTAGTTATAAGTAGTAGTAGTAGTAGCGGTCGTAGTAGTAGTAGTCGTCGTAGTAGTAGTAGTAGTAGTAGTAGTAGTCGTAGCAGTAGTCGTCGTAATTGTAATAGCAGTAGTAGTAGTAGTGGTAGTAGTAGTAGTAGTAGTAGTAGTAGTAGTAGTAGTAGTAGTGGTAGTGGTAGTAGTAGTAGTAGTAGTAGTAGTAGTAGTAGTAGTAGTAGTAGTAGTAGTAGTAGTAGTAGTACTGTGAGTAGTAGTAGTAATAATAGTAGTAGTAACAGTACTAGTAATAGTAGTTGGTAGTTAGTAGTTAGTAGCAGTAGTTAGTTGCAGTAGGAATCGTAGTAGTAGTAGTAGTAGTAGTAGTAGTGAAATTAGTAGTAGTGGTTGCAGTAATAGTAATAATAGTAGTAGTAGTAGTAGTAGTAGTAGTAGTAGTAGTAGTAGTAGTGGTAGTAGTAGTAGTTGTTGTTGTTGTCGTAATCGTAGTGGTAGTAGTAGTAGTAGTAGTCGTAGTAGTAGTAGAAATCGCAGTAGTAGTAGTAGTAGTAGTAGTAGTAGTAATATAGTAGTATCCGTAGCAGTAGGAGTCGTAGTAGCCGTAGTAGTAGTAGTAGTAGTAGTAGTAGTAGTAGTAGTAGTAGTTGTTGTTATAGCGTAGTAGTAGTAGTAGTAGAAGTAGTAGTAGTAAGTATAGTAGTAGTAGTTAGTAATAGTAGTAGTAGTAGTAGTAGTAGAAGTAGGTAGTAGTCGTTTGTAGTAGTCGTAGTAGTTGTAGCAGGGGATAGTCGTTAGTAGTAGTAATAGTAGTAGTAGTAGTCGTTGTAGTAGTAGTAGTAGTAGTAGTTAGTAGTAGTTAGTAGTAGTGGTAGTAGTTAGTAGTAATAGGACGAGTATGAGTAGGAAAGGATTGGTGGTGTTAAGTGTAAGTGTAGTCGTAGGTAGTAGTAACAGTACTAGTAGTAGTAGTGGTAGTAGTAGTAGTAGTAAAGTAGTAGTAGTAGTAGTATTACAAGTACTAGTACGAGTTGTAGTAGTAGTAGTAGTAGTAGTAGAAGTAGTAATAGTAGTAGTAGTAGTAGTAGTAGTAGTAGTAGTAGTAATAGTAATAGAAATAGTAATAGTATTAGTAGTAGTAGTAGTAGTAGTAGTAGTAGTAGTAGTAGTAGTAGTAGTAGTAGTAGTAATAGTAGTCGTAGTCGTAGTCGTAGCCGTAGTCGTCGTAGCAGTACTTAAAAATAATAATAATAATTCTAGCGTAATAGTAGTAGTGGTCGTAGTCGTAGTAGTCGTAGCAGTACGAAGCTTTCAAAATCTCTCAGAATCACAATCTCTGAGAACCTCTCAGAAGCTTTCAGGGTCTCTCAGAATCTCTCAGAATCTCACAGACTCTCACAGAATCTCTCAGAACCTCTCAGAATCTCTCAGAATCTCTCAGAATCTCTCAGAGTCTCTCAGAATCTCTCAGGATCTCTCAGAACCTCTCAGAAGCTTTCAGAATCTCTCAGGATCTCTCAGAACCTCTCAGAATCTCTGAGAATCTCTCAGAATCTTTCAGAATCTATCAGAATCTCGCAGAATCTATTAGAATCTCTCAGAATCTATCAGAATCTCTCAGAGGCTCGCAGTGGCTCTCAGACCCTTGCAGAGGCTTGGAGCTTTTCAGAGGCTCCAAAGTGGTTGGGATCTCACGCGTCCCGCGTGTCCTTGACGGTTGGGATCTGAACCGTCCGGTTGGGATCTCACGCGTCCGGTTGGGATCTGATACTTTCTCTGTCCTGGGCCCAACATTAGGGATACGGGATCTTCTCTGCAGATGTCTCAATCCAAACCACGCACGCGGACCTAAGTTAGGCTACGTCTTCATTGTGTTATTAGGATCCGGGGCTGTTTTATCATAGATGGTGTCCGTCTCCGCGTGGTCCAGCGGGTCGGCCTTGTAGGCGTGGAAGCCGTTGTCGATGGGCTCCGAGGCGGCGGCCTCTCGCCAGATGCGCTTCGCCTCGGGGGGAGCGGCGCCGACCGCACGCTTCGGCGACGCGCCGGGGCGAGGGCGGCCGCGAAGGCGAGGGCGGCGAGGGCGACGACGAGGATGACCGCGGCGAGGGCGGCGAGGGCGACGACGAGGGCTACGAGGGCGACGGCGACGAGGGCGACTGCAGCGGAGAGCTACGGAGCAAGTGCATAAGCATAGACTGTGGGTTAGCGCGGGCTTCTTGGATCGGTGCCGAACCTCCCATGGCGGCACCTCTAGCGCCGCCCCTGGCTCGCTAACTAAGTGGGTCGAGCGCCGACATCCGCGCGGCCCTCCGAAAGTAGATGCTTGTGTCATAATCATTGTTCGGCACACGCCGACACAACGGACCCGGATCGGCGCATATGCCCGGGCCCTCCCAGCTTGGCCAGTGCACAGATCCCTGGGCCCAAGGCTGGCCTGACTGGACTGGCGATGGCGTACATGTGGACACATGCCATCATTACTCTTGCTGTGAGAAAGCAGCGGGCACGTGCATCGTCGGGCTTCGAGAGCCCTGCGATGCCCGAGGGCTTCTGTGGGCCCAAAGGCCATGGCCATCGAAGGTTCTCCGCCGCTGGTGCGTCCGCTATGCACCGCGCTGCTCTGCATGTGCACACCCACGGGAGGAGGCTTCACTGGCACACGCACGCTCCCCTCGACACCGTAGCGCTCTGCCGCTGGCAGGCTGGTCTCCTACCTGACGCGCCTGCGCTGTCAGAGGCGTGCAACGAGGCGGGCGTCCAAGAGGAGGGGGGCGCAAGTCGTGGCTGGCGGCACGTGCGCGGCCAAGGGGGCGCCCAGGAACGCATCGAAATGAGATGAGCCGCCACGAATTCTGGGGAGATCTCATGGCCCCCGCCATGATATCCACCCTCGTGGCCGCCCCCGATACGTGAGCAGGGACCGACCGTCCTGACTTTTTTATAAGCCTACCACGACATGTTGTCAGAACCCGACAATGCTCTAAGAACAAAGCAATGCTCTTAGAACATCGACCCGATACATTGTAAAACAAGCCAGTCCCAGCCAGAACTGCTCTCAGAACACTTTGTGCAGACCACAAGAGGCTCCTAGAACATTGCTTGGTCGGCCTCTAGGCGGGCCAGAGGACGCTTCGCCACTGCTTGAGATGCTGCCTAGCTTGGCGCCCTGCGACGGGGGCGTCCAAGAGGGGGGGGCGCAAATCGTGGCTGGCGGCACGTGCGCGGCCAAGGGGGCGTCCAGGAACGCATCGAAATAAGATGAGCCGCCACGAACTCTGGGGAGATCTCATGGCCCCCGCCATGATATCCACCCTCGTGGCCGCCCCCGATACTTGAGCAGGGACCGACCGTCCTGGCTTTTTTTATAAGCCTACCACGACATGTTGTCAGAACCCGACAATGCTCTAAGAACAAAGCAATGCTCTTAGAACATCGACCCGATACATTGTAAAACAAGCCAGTCCCAGCCAGAAGTGTTCTCAGAACACTTCGTGCAGACCACAAGAGGCTCCTAGAACATTGCTTGGTCGGCCTCTAGGCGGGCCAGAGGACGTTTCGCCACTGCTTGAGATGCTGCCTAGCTTGGCGCCCTGCGACGGGGGCGTCCAAGAGGGGGGGGCGCAAATCGTGACTGGCGGCACGTGCGCGGCCAAGGGGGCGTCCAGGAACGCATCGAAATAAGATGAGCCGCCACGAACTCTGGGGAGATCTCATGGCCCCCGCCATGATATCCATCCCTCGTTGCCGCCCCCGATACTTGAGCAGGGACCGACCGTCCTGGCATTTCTACAGGCCCACCACGACATGTTCTCAGAACCCGACAATCCTCTAAGAACACAAGCAATGTTCTCAGAACATAAACCCGATATGTTAAAACAAGCCAGTCCCAGCCAGAACTGCTTTCAGAACACTTCGTGCAGACCACAAGAGGCTCCTAGAACATTGCTTGGTCGGCCTCTAGGCGGGCCAGAGGACGCTTCGCCACTGCTTGAGATGCTGCCTAGCTTGGCGCCCTGCGACGGGGGCGTCCAAGGGGGTGGGCGCAAATCGTGGCTGGCGGCACGTGCGCGGCCAAGGGGGCGTCCAGGGACGCATCGAAATGAGATGAGCCGCCGCGAACTCTGGGGAGATCTCATGGCCCCCGCCACGATACCCACCCCTCGAAGCCGCCCCTGATACTTGAGCAGGGCTGGCTGGCTTGGCGCCCTGCGGCGCCTTCCCCGAGCCCGCGGGCGCTGGCGGCTGCCCCGCCTCGGCAGCCGCCTGCCGCGCCGGCGCCGCCGCCGCCCCCTCGGAGCCGCGCCGCGCCCGGCGCCGCGCGCCGCGCCCCCCGCGCTGGCCCGCCGCCTCCCCCGGGCCCGCGGCGCCCGCGGGCCCGCGCCTGCTCGGCGGCGGCCGGCCGCGCCGGCGCCGCCGCGGCCGCCTCGGCGCCTGGCCGCGCCGGGCGCCGCGCGCCGGGCTTCTTGCGCTTGGCCATCGGTTTGGGCGCCCGAAATGGGCACGGAGAGAATGGGCACAGTGCCCAACAGCAAATGTTGTCCCAGACCAACAGCGGCCGCCGTTGGACAGGCAGCCCTCTGTCTCGAATGGACACAGGCCGCGGCGGCGTGGACAGCGAGTCCTGTTCAGAATGAACAAGAACTGCTGTTGAGCATTGTACCCGTTCTTTCCGTACCCATTTCGGGCGTCCAGAATCGGGGCGCGCCGCGGCGGCCGAGCGCAGCGGGACCAGCGCCCCCGCTCCCCGTCGACGGAATTGGGCGAAGCGAGGGGACGGGGACAAGATCGGACTGGGCTGCGCAAGTCTCATCCCGCACCCCCGACGTCACGACCCTTTCCGGAAGCGACCCACCCAGAGGTCCGGAACCTTTCCCCGAGACCGGCTTCTCATCCTGAGCCGTCTCTTCACGGTCCCGAGGGCCGGCAAGGGCCCCCAGAGGCCGAACACAGCGCAAAACCTCCCGTCGTGATGTTTTCGCAGCGCGAGGGGGTCTGGGATTCGGGGCTCCCTGAGAACCGAGGGTTCCTGGGCGCAGCGGGCGCGGCGGCCGTTGGAGAGCGCTCCACGAAGCGTGCCGGACCGCTCTGGAACGAGACCTCCGGGTCCTGGGCCCGCCCGAGACGAGGCCCCCGCCTCCATCCAGGACGTGGGCTGATGGCCGGAGGGGTGCCCCGAGAGGGGGCCCGAAATCCTGGCGTCGCACTTTTTCACAACGGGCGTGATTTCGCCATCGCTCGGGCGTCCATTCCCTGTGTTTTTTCCGCTTTCGTGCGTGGCTTCTTCGCCAAATGGTCAAGGATGCTCCTCGATGGTCCCCGCCGAAAGAAAAATGCACACGTCCGAGCGATGCCGAGTGATCGCTCCACTGCAAGCCCCCGGACCCTCACATACATACCGATCCGGCCTGAAAAATGACGCGGACAGATGGGGTCCAGGGCTCTGGGCGTGATTTTTTGCGATGTTGCATTTCGGCTTGCAACGGCGGATTTCACGGGGGAAGGGTCCCATGGGCCTCCGTCGGATTTCCTTGTGTGTTTTCACGGGGAACCCTCGCCAGGCCGCGGGATCGTCAAGACGTGGAGGCGGGAAGCGGGAAGGAGGAGGCGCTTTAGGGGAAAGTGGAAGCGGTTTCGAAATGGGAGGGGGAAACGGAAAGGGGAAGGAGGAGGCGTTTCTTGGGGGAAGCAGGAGGCGTTTTTGAGAGGGGAGGGGGCAAGGGAAGGGGGGAAGGTGGAGGCGGGAAAGAGGCAAGGGGGGGGGGGGGAGGGGCGGGAAAAGGATCTCAGAGGGGGAGGGGCCCGCTGATCAGCTTGGGTGGGGGGGAGGGGCGCTCGGCCGCGCCAGGGGCAAGGGGGCGCGGGCCGGCCCCCCGAGAGCCAGCGGCTGCGAGCCGCCTGCCCGGCAGCTCCTCGCGGCTGGCAGCGCGCGGCGGCGAGCGCGGGGGAGCCAGAGACTGGAGGGGCCCAGGGGGACACACATAGATCGGCACGCAGTCAAGGATGCCAATGTTCTCGCATGTTTCCTGCAGTGTGTTCTCCCCTCCATTCGGGTTCCTGTACAAGGCGTTCCTTTGCAAGCACGTCGTCTTCGGCACCGCCTGATCCCGAGGCTTTGCCTCCTCCTGGCCTTGCCGTCAAGCCTCTCCTTCTATCCCCCCCTCGTTGTTAATTCAAGCTTCGCGCGGCCCGCTTAGCTTCGACCGGAAGAGGCGCGGTCTCGACCCGCGAATCCAAAAAAGTGTTGTCCCCTCCATTTCCAACACATTCTGTCGTTTCACGAATGTAAGCGTTGATGGGCGTTTGTGTAGATTTCCCCCTCCTGACTCACACGTGGGGGGCGCAACGCGCGGAAATGCTGTTTTTTGTTGCGGGGGCAGCGGCCCCCCGGAAGCTCTCGGCGGGGCGCAACTATATATTGGAGGCTGCCCCGCGGGCTTTGCCCCCCCAGCAGCGATCGAAAACACCGTTTGAAAACGTTGGCCGGCCGAAAGATCTAGCACCGAAGGCCTGCCGAGGCCGAAATCGCAGACCACGGCCAGGACCCAACTTGCAGACGCGAGGCGAAGACGACAAAAACCAGGCCCCATCCCTGAAAAAAACCGTGCGCCTCGCCACTTGCCGCTTGAGTCCTGGAGCCTCCGTCCCCTCTTCCTCCTCCTCCTCCTCCTCCTCCTCCTCCTCCTCCTCCTCCTCCTCCTCCTCCACTTCTTCCATGAATACTAGTCCAGCAATTTGGTTTTATCAGTCGTGCCATGATCATTGAAGCTATCCGTACTCTTGCGCGCACTACTTGTAACATGGCGTTTCGTAGTCATGGTTGTAGTATGGATAATCGTTTTTCTCGTATGGCTATTCTTCGTATTAGCATTGGTCCTACACTTTTCCTTGTTCGTATATGTGCAGCTGCCAGTAGCCTCTTATCAGGTTTAGCACCGTTCGTATTCCTCATCAGCACCACCATTGTTGTCACCACCACCGCCGCCATCATCATCAACATCATCATCATCAACATCATCATGATCACCATCAGCATCATCATGCCCATCATCACCTCCACCACCACCTCCATCACCACCATCATTATCATCCTCATCCTCCTCATCATCATCAGCATCATCGTTTGGGTACCTCCGGGCCTGTAGTGCATGGGACAGGTCGTTCCTGTCTCACTCGCAGATGCTGCGGCATGCGGCGGGGTGCAGCAACATTCGCCGCAGTGCGCTTTGAGGTCCATGCTGGTGCTGCACACCAACATGGTCGGCTCCCCGCCTCTGCCCACGTAGACATTGATTGCCCTTGGGCGCCCGCGCGACCATAATTCATCATCTTCCTGCATCTGACTCAGATTTCTGGCAATGGCGGTGCAGCGGTTGACGCTCACGTTCACGTCCACCTACACCTGCCCTCGGGCTCCAGGTGTCCCTCGTGCGCTGGCGGCATCGGCGCCAAACAGTCTATGGACTCGGCATGTCCACCTGGTGCCACCACGTCCTCTTCCCCTTCGGCTTCTATGTGGGGTTCAACTTCGGCCACACTCGTGGCGGCTCCTGCTTGCGGCAGCGGGCGGCTCACCTCAGGCGGCGGCTCCCGCGGAAGCGGCTCCCGCGGCGGCGGATCCCAAGGCAGCAGTTCCCACGGCGGTGCCTCCCACGGCGGCGGCCCCAACGGCGGCTCTGGGCTCCCACGGCGCCGGCTACCAGGGAGGGGGTTCCCACGGCTGTTCCCGCGGCGACGGCTCCCACGGAGGCGGCTCCCACGGCGGCGGCTCCGCCGAAGACGACTCCCACGGCAGCGGTCCTCACTGAGGCTGGTCCCGCGGCGGCGGCTCCCACGGAGGCGGTTCCCGCGGCGGCGGTTCCCACGGCGGCTCCCGCGGCGGTTGCCGCGGAGATGGCTCCCATGGTGGCGGTTCTCACGGCTCCCACGGCGGCGGTTCCCCCAGCCCCGTCAGCTACCACCGCGGGTCCCCGGGCGGCATCTCCCGCGATGCGGCTCTCACGACAGCGGCTTCCACTAGGAGGCTACTCCCACAGCGGCAGTTCCAAAGGCGGCGGTTCCTACGGAGGTGGGCCCCACGTCGTCGGCTCCCACAGCGCCAGCTCCCACGGAGGCAGCTCTCAACGCGGCGGTTCCCGCGTCGGCTCCCATAGCGGCGGTTCCCACGGAGGCGGCTCCCGCGGCGGCGTCTTCCTCTCAGGCGACTCCCAGCCGAGCGGCTCCCACTCAAGCGGCTACCGCGGCGACGCCTCCCACGGCGGCGCCTCCCACGGCGGCGGCTCCCGCGGCGGCTCCCGCGGAGGCGGCTCCTACGCGCAGCTGCTCCCACGAAGACGGCTCCTACGTTCCCAGGGGCGGCTCCTACGGCGGCGGTTTCCACGCGGCGGCTCCCACTCGCGGCGACTCCCACGCTGGCGACGCGCAAAGCGACCATGGACGAAGTGTACGACGACTAGAAGGCGCTCGACCAAGCGGAGGAACGGCGGCTCCCTCAGTCGCTGGCTCCTTCGCGGCAGGGCAATGGCGTCCATGGCAGGTGCTGCGGCACGCGGCGGGGTGCAACAACACTCGCCGCAGTGCACTGCGAAGCCATTGCTGGTGCTGCACGCCAGCGTGGTCGGCTCCCCGCCTGGGCCCACGTAAACGTCGAGTGTCCTTCGGCACCCACGCGACCACCAATTATCATCAATAGCATCAGCCTCATCATCAGCATAATCAACATCGTCAGCAGCATCATCATCACCACCACCATCACCATCACCAACATCATTAATATCAGCATCATCGCCAGCACCACCACCACCATCATCATCATCATCATCATCATCATCATCATCATCAGTAGTATCATCATCATCATTAGCAGCATCATCACCATGATCATCAACATCATCATCACCGTCCTCATCCTCCTCATCGTCCTCCTCATCAGGATCAGCAACACCATCATCATCGTCATCATCACCGTCATCATGACCATCCTCATCCTCATCCTCATCCTCATCCTCATCCTCATCCTCATCATCGTCATCGTCATCGTCATCATAAGCATCACCACCACAACGATCAGAATCATCATCATCATCATCATCAGCAGCAGCAGCATCATCACCACCAGCTTCATCATACTCAACCTCCAACTCCTCCTCACCAGCATTATCACCACCATCATCATCATCACCATCATCAGTATCATCATCATCATCATCATCATCATCATCATCATCATCATCATCATCATCATCATCATCATCATCATCATCATCATCATCATTATCATCGTCATCGTCATC